GCTCAACAAGATAACGGTCAAAAATTATTGCCCACTACCACGGATCGATGATCTTATGGATCAATTGGAAGGAGCGAGGTTCTTCACAAAGTTGGATCTTAAGTCTGGTTACCATCAGGTGAGGATTCAGAAGGGTGACACTTGGAAGACTGCGTTCAAGACCAAGCAGGATCTGTTCGAGTGGTTGGTGATGCCGCTTGGGTTATGCAACGCTCCAGCGACCTTTATAAGGCTCATGAATGATTTGTTACGATCTTTTATAAAGGAATTGTGATAGTTTACCTTGATATCTTTGTGTACAACAGGACATGGGAGGAGCACATTGTTCATGTAGAGAAGGTTTTTAAAGTGCTACGGAACGGACAGCTGAAGCTCAACGGGAAGAAGAGCGAATTTAGGAAGGATGAGCTAGTGTATCTCGGCTTCATCGTGGGGAAGGGCCAGCGGAGGATAGACCCAAGCAAGATGGAGGTGATCACGAAGTGGCCGACGTCTAGGACAATAACGGAGGTGAGAAGCTTCATAGGGGCTTGTCAATATTTGCGCAGGTTCATTCAACATTTTTCTACTTGTGCGACACATTTACATGGCCTTACGAAGGTGAATGTTCAGTTTGAGTGGGGGCGGATGCATAAGGAGGTTTTTCAGATACTGAAGAAGAAGATCTCGGAGGCACCGGTATTAGTGTTGCCTAATTTACAGAGGACCTTCGAGATAGAGACTGACGCTTCTAGTTATGCTATGGGCGCTGTGTTGACATAAGATGGGAAGCCGGTAGAATACCATTCTAAGATATTTACAGGTGCTATTTTGAACTATCCTACCCACGATAAGGAGTTTTATGCACTCTATTAGGTGATCAAGCATTAGAGGGTGTATTTGTTGGGTTATGAAGTGGTTGTGCACTCAGATCACAAGCCATTGGAGTTTTTACATGCTCAGACGAAGCTGCAGCATGTACGAACACAACACATGAAGTAGATGTCTTATTTGATAGCGTTCAACATCATCATTAGGTACAAAAAGGGGCGACGAACAAGTTGGTCGATATGTTATCTCGATCGTCAGTTAAAGCTTTATTGGTGGTGACACATATTCAGCTCTTGGTTTCTTTAGAGTATGTACATATGTACACATCCTGCAGTGATTTTGACAGTGTGTTCAAGCAGGCGAAGGCTGGTCGAAGGGGGAGTATGAGATTGGAGCAGATGGTTTGTTGTATCGTGGGACGTTACTTTGCATTCCGGAGGATGGCGATCGATTGCAGTGGATTCGAGAGGCACATACATCACGTGTGCAAGGTCATTTTGGGATTCAGAAGACATTTTTCAATCTACGACGCTATGTCTTTTGATCGTTTGTTGTATCGTGGGACGTCACTTTGCATTCCGGAGGATGGCGATCGATTGCAGTGGATTCGAGAGGCACATACATCACGTGTGCAAGGTTATTTTGGGATTCAGAAGACGCTTTTCAATCTACGACGCTGTCTTTTGATCGAAGATGTTAGAGGATGTTACCAAGTATGTTGGGGGTGTAAGCTATGTTGTATTTTGAAGCCTTCTAATAGGAAGCGAGGATTGTATCTATCATTACCAGTGTCTTCTAGACCGTGGGAGAGTATTTCTATGGATTTCTTAGGAGGGTTGTTAACGACCAAGCGCGAGCATGATTACTTGTACGTTGTAGTGCAGCAAGATGGTGATTTTGATTCCTTGTAAGAAGACTGTGACGAGAGCGGGTGCAGCGTAATTATTCTTTGAACATGTGTGGAAGCACTTTGGGTTGTCGAGTTCGATTATTTCGGATCGGGATAGCTGGTTTCTTGGGTACTTTTGGGATTCTTTGTGGAGTTTGATGGACACTAAATTAAAGAAGGGCACGACCTTTCATCTACAAATAGACGGGCAAACAGCAGTAGTCAATCGGACTATGGTTCACATGATTGCGGGGGTATAATTCCAGGCATCCTAAGACTTGGGATGAAAGCTTATCATACATTCAGTTTGCTTTCAACAGGGCTATTCATGGATCTTCGGGAAAGTCACCGTTTGAGACGTATTATGGGTTTTTACCTCCAAGTCTGTTCGACTTAGTATTCTCTAGTGAAGCTACGACCAACGGCAAAGAAGGGAGCGAAAGACAACATGTTCAAAGATTTGTAGAGAAGATTTCACAGATTCACGCTACGGTTAAAACTTAGTTGAAGAAGTCACAAGCAAAGTACAAGGAAAAACATGATCAATATCGAGTTTCTTGTAATTTTGGCAAATATGACATGGTGTGGCTGAAGTTAAGGAGCGACTAAAAGGAGAAGGGAAGAAGTTGAAGTCTATACGATATGATCTGTTTTGGATTCTTGATCAGATTGGTGACAACACCTTCAAGCTTGATTTGTCACCTTACTTAGTCATGTATTCGGTGATTAATGTCGAATACTTGAAGTTGTTTGAGCCTACATTGTTAGATGATGAGGGTGAGGACAAAGTGATCTTACCGCACGTTGAAGACTTGTGGTTTGATAGAGAAGAGCCGCTGAAAGAGGATTGTATTTTGGAGCGAAATGTGACTACGACGAGATGCGGGACGAAGGAGTCGTTTCTGATCGGACGTCAAGGTCAGGTTCCTAGCAAGACTAGGTAATTCAATAAGGAAGGAGAGGCTCGCGAGTACCCTCAGCTGAAGTTCATACTTGAACGAGACTTCAAGTTCCTAAAGGGGAGCCATAATACGAGTGTATCTTTTTCCTTACTTTGGGAGCTTAGCGATCCTCATGAGAGCTTGAGGATAGACGATTCTCAGGGTAGTTTGAGAATAGAAGCGTGGACGGAGTCGTCGAAGGCGGCAAAAGCGGTTAAAAGGAGGAAAATAGCAAAACTCAGAAAAACTAGCATTTGGGCTCTGGCTGGTCGACCGCATGATCAGCGTCAATCATTGTTTTAAATATCCCTGACATGGCCCGATATATCCCCCGATATATCCTTTTACAGGGCTTGCCGCAATAGATATGATCTTTAAATATCCTTCACCGTTTTTTGGCTATTTTGAGTGATAAATCCCCGATATGACCGATATATTAGCCGATATGTGGACCGATATATCTTTTTATATAGCTTGTTGCAAAATAATATGCCGTGTTTGGAATTTTTGGGCGAGATATCAAGATTTTCCCATTATATCAAATGACATTTTGCCCTAAAAAAAGCAGATCGAATGTTACAATGTTGCTTTGCACTTTTGTTTGTTTTAGAAGGTTGATTAGTGATCCTAAACATATATTATTCCTATTTTGTATGCTTAAATTTCATTACATATGTTGAGATTATAGTTTAATGTATTATACTATGTATGCAAATATTCATTATGACATTCCGATATTTACCCCATATCCCTGATATTTCCCCGATATCCGCAATCCGATATGAATTTTGGCCATCCGATATTTCCCCAATATCCGATATTTAAAACCTTGGTGTCGATCGATCGGAAACGTGCACGCTACTGGCGAGAGTTGTGTGTTCTGACCTGTCGACCAGGATTCATCATCGGTCGATCGATTGGTCGACCGAAATCAGCATCGGTCGACCGATATCAGAAAATCTTGCAGTGTTAAAAACCCTCGCTCCGGTCGGTCGACCGGACCAAGCAGGTCGGTGGACCAGATCGCGTTTCCTGGGTTGACCTGGACTCTACTTAACGCAGATTCCAAGTTCTATTGGGCTTGGTTATTTACGAGATTGTCATCCACGTTGATAGACATATAAATAGGGATTGTTTAGGGTTTCTAAACATCAGATTGGATTTTAAAGAAAATAGGGAGATTGTTCTTTATTCTATAGAGATTGTGAGGAGAGATTTTGTAATGTTTTATTCTTCATAATCTAGAAAATGTATTTTCCTTCGCCAATTGAATTGTCTTGTGTGTTCCTGCTGTTTTCTTCTCATCCACACCTTTGATAATTCTACGATCAAATGTGCTTGCTCGGTGACTCAAATCACTGCTGGACCAAAATTTAATTGGGATGCAGAAGAGGATCCAAACCCCGATGTTGTCAATTTTTACAAGATGTTGAGAGATGCTGAGGAACCATTATGGCCGGGCTGTGGACAATGTACCATACTTTTAGCTGTCTCAGAGCTACTCAATTTGAAATTTGAGTTCAACACGTCAGAGCTATTATGACCGAATGATGTCAATTATTGAAAGTATGTTGCCAAAGAGTGAAAAGTTAGCTGAAAGCGTTTATGCTTCCAAGAATATAGTAAAGGGAAAAATTGCAAAATACACCATTTTTATGAAATATATAGCGAAATAGACCACTTTAAAAAATAATTAGCAAAATAGACCTATTTTTGGCCAACAGGTTAAAAAGAGGTCTATTTTGCAAAACAGCTCAGAAAACATACGGGACTAGTAGTCCCGTATGTTTTAATCACAGATTAGTGAAATTTTCTACTCAGAAAACATACGGGACTACTAGTCCTGTATGTTTTCTGAGACACTAATCCGTGATTAGTTGACTCTAAACATATGTGACTAGTAGTCCTGTATGTTTTCTGAGCCTTGTTTTTCAAAATCGACCTTTTTTTTTTCAAAAGGTCTATTTTGCTAATTATTTTTTAAAGTGGTCTATTTCGCTATATATTTCATAAAAATGGTCTATTTTGCAAATTTTCCCTATAGTAAAAGGGTTGGGATTGGGGTCTGAAAAGATACATGCTTGTCCGAATGATTGTATGTTGTAAAAGGGAGTTTCCTTCGGTGCATTCTGGACATAGTGCTACTGGTATTGATATTTTATTTGATTTACTATGCTCTTTACTATAAACATTAACAAAATAAATTACTTTTGTAGCTAGAGAAGATGGCTTCAAGGGGGGTTCTTCAAGGCATTCTACATTTAGTGCTACTTGTATTTACATATTTACTTTTGTGTGGTGAGTTATTCATATATGTATTTGCTTTACTAGAAAGACTAACAATATAAATTACTTTGTAGTAGGAGATCGTGACACAGATGGAAACCCTTCAACACATTCTAGAGATAGCACTCAAAGATAGCACTGAGGACCCTCCTGAGGTTAGGAAAAGAGGTTGTCTTATATTGGTTCCTCCTCCACAGAACCCTGATGACCGACCATTATTGATAATTGTGGGTGACTATACACACACACACACGTGTGTGTACATACACATATATATATATCTGTATATATACATATATACGTCTATATATATACATGTATGCGTGTATATATATACATATATATGTCTATATATACATATATACATGTGCGTGTGTGTGCATATATATAGTAAAGATCCTATAAACTTAAGTGGTTTGGAGCACTTGTCCACCAAACTTTTTATCCCTTCATTATGTTTTGAGATTTGTGCTACACATCAATGCTATCTTTGAGATTTGTGCATTCATTTGTATTATATGGTAGCACAAATCTCAATGCAAAATCAATGGATAAAAAAGTTGGTGGACAAATGGCTCCTATCCACTTAAGTTTATAGGAGCTTTAATATATATACACGGATCTCTAGGTATCATCAATGGATAGAAATTTTGGTGGATGGTCCACTTAAGTTGGCATAAGTTTCTCTCTCTCTCTCTCTCTCTCTCTCTCTCTCTATATATATATATATATATATATATAATATATGCAATTCCTTTCTTTGAATCATGTGTTGGATTTTGATTTTGTCTTCAGCATACAGTATTGGGAAGACTTTGTCTATATGCTTTCCAACATATGTTATAGTTAAGTAGAATTTAAGCTGTTAGTTTAAAGTTCCATGCTCTGTGAACATCCTGCTACATTTCAATATAACAATGCAACATTTCACTATGGCCTTGTTTAAGGAGGTTCAGGGGCTGATTGTTTCCACAGATTGAGTTATTTAGACAAATAAGTTATTTCTAACATTAGTGTTGAGATTTTTTTTTCTCCCTCTCACAAACTGATGAAGTTAGCAGCTGATCTTACTATATTGTCAATAGATTGGTTATTCAATTGTTGATTGAGTTTGTGTATCAGGAAGTCAATGATATACACAATGGCCCACAATTGTGGCTCAGAAAGTCCACATTACTATACTTGAAGTTGTTACTTGCAACAAAATCAGAAGAATTGCATGTGTCCCCTACATAACATTCCAATCTTAATTATATAAATGCTGAACATAAGCAATGGTAGGGTCTCTCTGGCATTAGTTGAACCACTTCTACCATCACATACACAGATCATAACTTAATTGCAGCAATGAAAACATCTGTTTTAGTTAGTTCAGTAGTCTAACTTACAAGTCATCTCCCATGTCATACATATGACATAAACACAAGGTAACAAGTGACTAACATCAAACTGCAAACAAAAAACACCAACATCATTTTCTATCTACAATCTGATCTATCCGCAAGTCATCTACAATCTCCTGGACAAGTACACCAGATGCCTAGTCAAGTTCATGAGAGTGAATACATTAACAAAAGAAGAGTATGTGTTGAGATTCTTCAGCTTCCTGTTCAGCTTCACTACTCTCCCCTTCACTGCCTCTTGATGGTTGCTTTGTGTATTACTTCGGTTTTGCTTGTTTAAAGATTGTGTTCTTAGCCTTGTTTGTCAATTTTGATTTTGAGCCTATATTTTGCTTTTGTGTTGGTGATAAGCTGAAGAGTGAATTATCATTACAAAATTCTAATTTAATAAAATTATGCTCATGCCTTATGCTAATGTCCGCTTGTCAGTTGTGTAGCTATTCTTTGAATTATTTTGTTTCCAGTATTGTTAAGATTCATGGTTGCAGGTGTTGTGTGCATTGTGGTAGTCTTAATAACTATTTTATTTGATTTTGTAGAGCTTTCGATGGGTGTGATCATAACCCAAAGATTATCAGTTGCATTATTAGAATGTACTTGCCGGAAGCCATGCCGACATGGAAAAAGTATCCGGAGGAGTGGAAAGAAGTCTGCTACAAAGAATTCGAGGTAAAAGACTGCACACTTTTTACTATTTCGTCTTTGGACTCAATCTTAATTTTACTATATGGATCATTTATTCACTTTGGTGTTATGATTTGTTTATAGTGTAGCAAATTTCTGTTGTTCTTCTTATCCAACATATGGCTTTTGTTTCTTAAAAATCACTTCATTTCTGAGTTCATTCAACCAACAAAAACTAGTTTTGACTGCATCATGTGTGTTATTCATTATCTCACAGATCATAAAATGATGAGCTCAGCTAGTGCATAACTTAATAGCTTGTTTATATTTTCGGAAATATTATAAGTTTAGGTCATTTAAGTCTGTTAGGGCGAGAAAGGTGCTTCATGCAATTGCTCAAACCCGATATTCAGACATGCTCTCTAAATTACAACTGAGAGCCACCAAGAAGCTAGGAAAGGAAAAATTAGAGCACCGAGAAGCTAGGAAAGGACAAATTAGAGCGGAAGGGGGGTGAACTGAGCATTGGATGAGGCAGGATTACTAGGACAAGTTGTGTGATATGTGGGCAGATAAGAACCAGCAAAAGCGCTCGAAAGTGGCATTCGAAATTCGTAATTAATCAGAAGAGGATAAAGCGTACCGTAGTTGCGGGTCTGTTAGTGTTAATGTGCACAAGAAACGGATGGTAAGTATAGTTAAAATATTGTCTTGATAAATATAAAATTGCATCTAAAGTCATACTTTTTATTTATTAGCTTAATTTTGTAGAGGCTGTTGAATTAGGCAGAAATCCCACTCTGAAAGAGGTTTTTGATAGGACACAAATCGAAGAAGACGGATACCTTTGTTTGTCTAAGATCTAAATCTGTTAGTGTAAGCAAGGTTTTAAATAGCGGTTATCGGGGATTTATCGGACGGCCAAAATCCTTATCGGATAGCGGAAATCGGGGATATATCGGGGATAAGTAGTATTTATTGGAGTAATATACTGGATGATGTATATATATAATATGATAACTAAAAAATGTAATCTAACCATACTTAATGAAATATAAACATACCAAAATATAAATCATCATGTTTAGAATCACTAACCAATTATAGAAAGCAAAACTTGCATCTTGACTGCACGATGAAACTATTCGATTGCATAGCCTTACTTATCGGCCGATAATCCCGATAAAAAAACCTTACTTATCGGCCGATAAGTACCGATAACGCCGATAACTCCCCGATAACTTGCCAAAAACGATAACCGATTAAAAATCCAAGTTATCCTATCGGAGAGCTCCCAAATCCGATAACTCGGCCGATAATATCGATTATCGGCCGATATTTAAAACAGTGAGTGTAAGTACCATGAAACTAAATGTTCATCTTTCATTCTCAAAGGTTGCTTCTTTGTTTCTTATGATAATCAATCAAAGTATAATTTATTGTAGGGGTGGTTGGGTTCTGATATTTAGCTCTAGTTATAGCTATATATGCATAGTTAAAGTTTTTGGCTTTCATCAAAGATGATAAAATGGTGATTTGAAGACAGTATGTATTTATAGCTTTTACATTCTGACGAGAACATACTAGAATCATAAATCTGTGTTAAAAGACATAGAGCCATACTCCTTAGATTTGAGAACATGAGCCAAGACCAAATACATCTAAAAACTTGTTCATTTATTTTAGTGGCTATAAGCTAGTTTTTGCAAGTTATTGAGTGAAAGTAAATGGGATTTTACTTGATCAACCTTAGACTCTAAGCCATTTCAGACTGGCATCATGGTAACTTTTCACAAGTTGTTCGCTAGATGATTTTATTTATAGTGCATTAATGTTAGTATATAAAATACGTAGTGATACCACACTTACAGGTCTATTTGATCATGAATTTTGAATCCTGTGATTTCTTCATGCAAGCTGTCCATGTATAGATCCAGATTATACATTGTTGCCTTCATCATCAATGAACCTTACTGTTTAGGGAATTTAAGGAGAGAGATCACCTTTACATGGTTGGTATCATGTAATGATTGTGTACTAAGTATTAAATTTTGAACTTGAGAGATCATATATGTAACGAAGTGAGTAGTAGCTTTTCCTAATTTCTACCTAAGCTAGAAATTGTGGTGGCTTACAAAAGTAACATGCTATTTTTTCCTTCCCTTTACTTGCGACTAACCAATTTTATACTCAATTCCATCATTATGTATCCTGCGTTATTCCGTTACGGAGAGGAGAATTTTTTCTGCTAAGAATGTCGAAATAAGTTTTGCTTTAGCTGTAGAACCAATTAAGCACTTGTCCTCATCATGTTTATGTAATATATACAAAGTGAACTGTCATGCCTACTGTTGTCTTGATCGAGTCTTGTTCAAGTTAATCTTTTCCCCACCAACTGGGGCTATGTTTTTTTAATGCTACATCTTGGCAGATGGAATCAGTATTTTGTTACATAATGATAATACTCATGAGAATACTTTCTGTTTTCTTTATTTTCGTGGGTCTGTTTCATGCATGAAATGAACTCAGGTTTATCTAAATCCCTCTTACTAGCGATATGAAAGAAAAAAAATATAGAAAGAGAAACAAACTCATACTGTATGGGCAGAGTCTGTGCCTTCAATCTTGTTTGCTATATTTTCCAAAACTGCAAGCCTCGAATGTTTTTTGTGAAATTTTCCAAAATTATTGCATAGAATCTGATCAGTTGTAAATTTAATTTTTTAATTACTTGAATACATTAATGTCTATTGTAGGAAGCATATGATCAAACAATTCGAGAGACGTGTATGGGGATGATATTTCGTCACAAAGATTTTCAAGCATGGTTGTCAGCTTAAGGCTGTGTGCAAAAAGGCCATACATATGGTTTGGGTGGAAGTGTCAACTCTCAATCAGTACTTGGTGGTACGAACTATCATGATTTTGAGACACCCATCTCTTCTAATGCTTCACAGATCGAGATTGATGATGTGTTTATGACGAAATTGCAAGAAATGGTAGTTAAAGTTGCAACGGAAGTCGCAACAAAGTTCTACATGCAAATTCGTCAGGAAGAGAAATCCACTTCATAACCTTCTATATCTATTCCACCATCGAGAATACCGCCATTAGTAAATTAAATATTCTTTATAGAAAGCTTTTTCTTGTTAATCTATTCTTTATAGAACAATATAAAATCTCTGTTTGGGGATGTGTTTCAAGTTCGGAATCATAACCTCTACTTTGAACAGATATATATGCTACTCTTAAATCTGTGTATTAGTCTCACAATTGAGTTTTTTTGAAATTAAAGCTGATCCAAATAGGAGAATTAGATCTAACTGAATTTTCTATTCATGTTTAAGGTACTACTAGTTTTTCAAGAGCTAGAACATAGCAAGCTGATGGCGAGGAAGACAAATTTGATGGTGAATGAATGATTTTTGTGTTTTTCGGATGTAGGGTTGCAACTAGGAGTGATTCTACAGGAAGGAATGCTAAAGAGAATAAGATTGTTGGAAACGCTACCCTTGTACTCTACTGATTTGTGTTATAACTTGCTTTTTATTTCACTAATAGTATATGTACACAATATGTCTTTTTCTTTGGAGTTTCAACATGGGAGAACCGTAAACTGGTCCATGTTTTGTGTTTTGATGGTGTAAGTTGTAAAGAATTTTCAGTTGACTATCATCTTATAAAAGTGATTAGGATCTTTTATTGCTAATGTGTGACAGGTTTTTGTCTTGAATGGTTATAACCTCTATTGTAATGAAATTTTGAACATGATATTTTGCGATGGATTTGTAGCGGAAGATTCATCGCAATTGATGTCTAATAGCAAAGGTAGCTGCAACAGACTTCTGTGTAGAATTTCGTCACAGTTCCATCAACGATGAAATTTTGTTGCTAATGCTAGTCGTAAATAGTTAGCCACAAAATTTTGGAATCACTATCTGCGATAGAAAATGCCCTTGCTTTTCCGTCGCTGATTGTAGAAATAGTAGCAGATTCATTTTCCATCGCAATAGGTGGGGCTTTAGTGATGGGGGATAAACGGTGGAGTATCAGTGACAGAATTATCATTCTCAAGGAGACGGAACCATCTAGATTGATAGATTCTAGAAATTTCATTAGTAGTAGTAGGTTATGATAGAAATTCAAATATATATATATCTCACGAGTGGCACGTGCGCCAACAACCTATATCTTAAGTCCATTTTGAGTCTCTAATCTGAAGTCACTTTTTAACAGATCTCAAATTAAGCTACAATAGTAAATACCATAGCCTAGTTTTTATTTTCAATATTCGATTCATAATATAGTATTTCAGAAATGTAATTACATCTTCATTTGCTCCAGAAATATTGAACTAATATCAAGTTATCGAGCAAATGTTGATGGCAATAGGTTAGGTACAATTTTTTAAAACTTTAGGCTAGTTAAGTGTAATTTTTAAAAACTTTAGGGTATCTAAATGAATTTTTAAAAAGTATATAAGTGTAATAAGTGAAGGTGTGTAAGTTTAAAAAACTTGGGGGGGTATACAAAAGCTACAAAAAACAAGTGAGGATATATAAGTGCAAAGTGGGGAAAACTAGAAGGTATTTAAGTGCAATTAAGCCTACAAAGTTATTAAGCTAATCGAGTATTATCCACAAACTGCAAATCATTATACAATTGCGGCTAAATATTTATATTTCTTGTAAAAAGGTGCAAAATCACCAGGTTCTGTAATGAATTAAATACTGACTTACATTTGAGAATATATTGCATGCCTACATAAAATACAAATATATCAAAATGAATGTGATGTCCGAGTGTTTAGTCTCACAGTGGTTGGTGAATATTTGAGTAGTTTAAATACTAAAACCAAAGATTTAAATGTAGCATCATTTAGTTGATTTTGATGCGTTAGACTGGGCCCGTTTGTTTCATTTTTTTTGAAGGAGAAAGTTAGAGGAAAGCTGCTAAATCTGACAAAAACTGTCAGTTTTGGCAGGCTTTCCCCTTCCCATTTTTGCAAACAAACAGCCCCTAATGGGTATCATATGTCATATGAGAGGATTCCCTCATATACAATGATGTGGCACAATCTCTACCAAGTGAATAAAGTAGGAGAGAGAATGTCTCATAAATACACTTGGTGGAGATTGTGTCACATCATTGTATATGAGAGAATCCTCTCATATGACATATGATACCCATTAATCTCTTATTTGAATGCCAAACTAAATTTTAAGAAACACAAGAATATTTAAGAGAAGCCCAAAAGACTTAAACAAATTAAATGCAAGAGAAATAAAAGCTCACAAAGTCCATCTCTCAATGAATCAATGGTGTAGATTATTTTGAAAGATCCTATAATTATCAGTGTTACTTAGGGCCTAAACTAAATCTTATGGTTGTGAGGGTTACTTTGGGGCCAAGACAAATCTAGGGTTGTGAGAGATTTTGTTATCTATAAATAAAGGAGTAGAGTGGGAGTTTAAGAGTGAAAATTTTATAAATTTTTTGGAGCGGAGGGCTTTTAATCAGGTCTTTCAAATTGTAAACTTTTAGGTTCATATTAATAAAAAAAATTTATTCCTCTTTTTCAATTTTATTTCTTCTATTTTGTTGATGAAGATGAAGATGAAGATTTGCTTTCAAGGGTTAAACTCTTTGCAATGTAAATTTTTATTTTTCTCTTTTATTTTTTTATTTTAGAAATTCATGTTTTTTATGATTTTATTTTCTTTTCATTTTTATGTAGGTAGATTAGATTTATTTCATGCATTGTAGTGTAGAGTTACTTTCACGCTCTTTTATTATTTTGTTATTTTACATAATTTATTTTCTTGTATTTTTCTTTCATAGCGTAAATTTACTTTTATGCTCATTTATTTTTGTTAGTTAAATTTTCTTTATGCTCATAGTTTAGATCTTGATTTCCTTATTCTTGTTCTCATTTATGTAGTTAGTTTTTATTTTTCTTATTTCTTTCTTAGTTTTTATTTTTCTTATTTTTTTCTTTTATACTCTCTAGTCTAATTTTATTTCTTTGTTTTTATTTTGTAAAACGAGTAAGTAAATCTTATAGGAATTTTAAAATTGTATGAAACTAGTTTAATTTCTTTTATGATTTGTCGATTGTTCTCTTATACGTAATCATGTTTAGGATAATCAACTAGAGAACTAATTGGTTGAAGAAGAATTTGGTAATTCGTACTTATCTTGAGTGATTTGATATGTTATGCTTATGAATTTTAGAATTACATTTAGTTGCTTGTTCTTTTCATGAATGAGAATTTTGTTTGGATGATAATTTGATAGGTTATATCTTCCTTAAGTGGTTTTATAGTCTATGCTTAGTAAATCTAAAGTAAAATGTGATAAAAAGAGAGTAGTTCATAAATCTTAAATAAATATAACTAATGGATTCAATGCTAGATTCCTACATTCTCTGCTTAATTCCCCCCATCTTTTGCTTGTTTTAATTTTTCCTCTTTTCGATTACTTTCTCTTCTTCATTTTATTCTTTTCTATTGTTTTTATTTCTCCTCCTTGTTTATCATTTTATTCTTTTTTGTTCAAAATGATGGGAAAATACAGGCAAACAGAGGAACACCAATTATAATCTTCCCTAATAGAGGGGTCGTTTTGTTTCCAAGAAGTATCCACAGAAATGCTTATACCCAATCTATTTTATTATTTATTTATTTTTGGTGCAAGAAATCTCTAATCAAGCTTTTAAAGTTCAACAGATTCAAGGCAACGAAAAGATACATATATTTAAGGAACCAAAGCATTTGACAAAGAGATTATATAGGTTAATTGGGATAATCCACAAAAAAAAAAAAACAACATATTTCGATCCCTAGAAAATAAAGGAATGAAATGGAATGTGGAACTACAGTCTTTCAAAGTATTTTTCTTAGAACTAAATAAGAATCAAACCGCCATCATCATCCGCACAAACTCCTCGTAGTTCACTTGACCATCTCCATCCACGTCGGCCTCTCTAATCATCTGCTCGACTTCTTCATCAGTCAATTTCTCACCCAGGTTGATCATAACATTCCTTAGCTACAAAACATAGAGAAAATATAACAATATTTAACACGTTTAACAAAAATCAAATAAAAGTTGATCTGCATAAAAACACCAACTAATTCTTTCGGGGAATTTTCTTTACTATTATTATTTATATATGAACCAAGACCAGAAGAGTTTTACCGACCAAGGCTTTTTTTTTCCTCTAAAGAAAATCAGTAATTATAAATTTTATACTCTACCAGATGTGTAATAACAAAACATATATATATATAGTAATCTCTAGTGTAGTGTTCAACGTAGCCTATGGTAATCACCTCACTAGCCGAGATGTAACCATTCTGGTCCTTGTCGAAGACCTTGAAAGCTTCTTTCAATTCCTCTTCAGCATCGGTCTCCTGATAACAGTCACGGCGAGGCGCTAAAATATAAGTCACCTATCAATGTAACTGTAGTTCGTTTGCATCAAGGAAAAGAACGGGTTAGTACCTTCATTTTTCTGGCCATCAGGTTCAAGAACTCCCCAAATTCTATGGTGCCGTTACCATCAACATCAACCTCACTGATCATGTCCTGTAATTCCTCTTCAGTTGGATTCTGACCAAGGGATCGGATGACTGTGCCAAGTTCTTCCAAAGTAATGCAACCTATTATACAAATTTCAGGGTTTAGGATTTAAGTGAAAATAAATATATACGAGGCAATAAACATATGAAACGTTAATATAATTTCTAAAAACTGTGAAAAATCCTAATATATACCTAAAAAAAGCAACTAGTTTTCATAAGCTCTATAATAAAACATTAGCAGGAGAATGATTTGTCTAAGG